AAGGTCTTAATAAACTCATCTCTAAAGTATTTTCTTATTTCAAACTACGGAATAAGTGGTTAAGATGGGGCTCAGAACTTATTTCAATTCATTGGTCATTTAATAATATTTAATCCAAAATTATAATTTTCACTAAGCTGAGAATCTTATCATTCCCTTAATCTGTGAGAATCTGAAATTATTATGATCTCTTGTTTTGCCATCTAATGTTTACAAAGACTATCTGGAATTGGCTTCTGTCCACTGTTAGGACAATTAAGAGCCAGTTCTTTATTTTTCTATTTTTTAAGGCTTATTTGACATAGCGGTCTCCCAGTTTGAAAAAACAAATGTGCCATTTAAAATAAAAGCCTAAGAATATTTAAAAGAAGTGGGACATAAATAATGTGTATAACTAGTTGGTATTTTAAAAAGTAATAATTGTGGGTAGAGTAGAAAAAGAGCAAAAGACAATCTTATTTTTGTAAAGTTATTTTTTTCCTGTTATAGAAGCCGGCTCAGATGTCTCACACAAAAACGGTGAGAGCTGGAGGGAGTTAATCCAAAAGACAGTCAGAAGCAGTACCCACTGCTAAATATAATTGTTATCTGACCTCATAAACAAGAATACACTGATCCTAATGTCATTGACTTGATTGATTTTCAATAGGGCAAATACAAACAGGGAAGACTGATGCTCTGATTTTTCTAATTAACTCAGATAATTCCATCAACCTGATGGGCAGAGCTTGCTTACCTGAGAAATTATCTGATAATTAAGATGCACAGGCAGTCCTCTAAGAAACCTAATTCAAAGCACTGTGCTTCCAATGCTAGGATTTTTACTTAAATGAATGCTAGCCCTGTTCCAGCTCCACTAAAGGAAACATGTAGATTGAAATGTTTACATTTTGGCTTTCCACTGACAAAATTGGAAGTATTAATGCTACTTTGTTCACAATTTTTGCTTACTGATTTGTGTAACTAATAATTATTAATGACATGAATTAACATTATTAGGATCTGAAAAGTATAGCATTAGATTTTATTTGCCTATATCCTTTCTGATAGACATGGAGGATTCAACTGTTTGGAAAAAAAAAAAAGCAGAATCTGAAAATTGAGTATAATCTGTACATTTTTAAACTACTTTATTACGTCAGTAGGAGTTCTTTTTGCCAGTCTCTCAAATACAGGTTTTGCTTAAAGGAATACATGCCTTATGCCAACATACCAGTCTTTTGGGGAATTAGGAATGCAAAATATCCCTTTTTGTACCTTCACAACCAACACATTTGTTGAGAATTAAAAGGGCTAGGCTTTGACATTTTCCAGCTTGTTATCTATTTAATTTTCCATCTGCTTCTTTTGCCACTGCCTTCCAAAGGAACATCTGCTGCATATCTGAGAAAAGGGAAGTTTGGATCTGTGCCACCCGGGTCTGCAGTCCAAAACCTTGAGATCCAGAATAAGGGAAGGGAAGGAGACTAACAAATGGTCCAGGAAATAAAATGAGGACAAACGGTCTGTTAAGAACAAAGCTGTATTTCTCTTTATTGCAGAGCCCACATGATGGGGCAAGCTGGATGGCAGCATCTACAACCAGCAAGTGCTGGATGCATAGGGAGGCAGCTGGTGACTTGCCAGTGGCAAGAGCACTTCTCAGAATTTGGACACTTCCTCTGGTGTCTGACTCTCCATGTGGGACCCGGTTTCTCAGACATTCATTAAGCATTTATGGGGCAGCTTTGTTCTGAGTACTCTGGAGGCAGAGATGAATAAGATATAATCCCTATGCTTAAAGAGTTAGCCTAAGATGGGGAAGATAGATAAGTGAACAACAGATCACAATATCACAATGAAAAATTCTGTATCCTAGGTAGGGAAGAAATGTCACAGAAATACATAAAGGGGAAAGATGCATTCCTAATCCTGTACAAAGAAGTGGTGGTTCAAGGAGAGGAACGTCTGTACAGAGACAGTGCTACAAACTGAGTGGAAGGATAAGTAGGAATATTAGAAAACAAGTTATTTTTTTCTTCCTACCACTGAGGGGTAGTGTAAAACAGCAAACCATCATAATTGAATCAAAAAATGTAATCTCCCAAACCTTAAACCCACCCACCACCCCTCTCAATGTCAAGGCGTCAACATTTATATCAAAGGTATCAAACTGGGTTCTGCCACTTTAAATGTTATCTACAGAGTCACTAGTAAGGTTAGCAAACTTTTATCAGAGTGAGGTAAGAGGTCAGCCTAATGATAACTTTCTGATTTGCTATGGTGTAGCAATAATGGAGTGGCCAGTTGTCTGACTTTAACTTTTCTTAATTATCTAACTTTAAAAACAAAAAAATATTTATATGTAAGATCACAATACCAAATGCAATAAATTCTTATAGTTAGGAGTGTACCTGCAAAACAATCAGGTATGAACAAACATCTTCTCTACCATAAGGGATACAGAAATAAAAGACATGACCTTTCTGTCAAAGAAGCTGAAATCTATTGCAATGACTGAAGCATTTAAAACGGCTAACTATAATTTTTTGAATCTCTTTTCTATAATACTGACATGACAAATATTTAACATTTAAATGAGAAAAGAATAAGGCCAATGTTGTGCTTTATTGTTCAGTAAATGTATGCTTCCTTCATTTTTTAATGTGGTCTACAAATAAGTATAAAACTTTTTATCATTTGATTTATATTAGTTATAAATCAAACTAATATACACTGAGATGCAAAAATAATTGGCATAATCCTTGACTTTGCAATTATATTTTGTCTTAATTTTAATAAATTTTATTTTTAAAATATGCATTGGCAATACGGAAATAGCTGGGAAAAGACTCAAACACACCTTTTTTTCTATCATCAAATTTTCTTTCAACTTCAAAGAAAAGTCTTCCTCAATTTTAAAAACTCATTCAGAGAGAATTTTTGAAGTTTTTTTTTTTAAACCAATAAAGAGCAAGCTATGAAATCAAATTAAATATTTGGAGTATTTTTAGCTTGATTTAACTCACCCAAAATTCTTAGGATTATTATAAGCATGTAATATTTTGTTTTATGGTTAATTTCTTAAATGGAGTTTAAAGACATTGCAATTTTTAATTTTTAAGTAGGACTATTTCATATGGTAGATGTATTAGGGTTCTCTAGAGGGACAGAACTAATAGGATAGATATTTACATGAAGGGAGTTTATTAAGGAGAATTGATTCACACCACACAATCACTCAGTAAAGTCCCACATAGGCCGTCTGCAAGTTGAGGAGCAAGGAAGCCAGTGGTGGATTAGCCTGAGTCCCAAAACCTCAAAAGTAGGGAAGCCAACAATCCAGCCTTCAGCCTGTGGCCAAAGGCCCCACAGCCCCTGGCAAACTCTTGGTTTAAGTCCAAGAGTCCAAAAGCTGAAGAACTTGGAGTCTGATGTTGAAGGGCAGGAAGCATCCAGCACAGGAGAAAGATGAAGGCCAAAAGATGCAGCAAATCTGCTCTTCCATCTTCTTCTGCCTGCTTTGTTCTAGCCATGCTGGCAGCTAATTAGGTGATGCCCACCCAGATTGAGGGTGGGTCTGTCTCTTGTAGTCCACTGACTCAAATGTTAATTTCCTTTGGCAGCACCCTCACAGACACACCCAGGGACAGTACTGTGCATCCTTCAATCCAATCAAGTTGACACTCAGTATTAATTCACCTGTAATGAATGGGCTTAAAAAGAAGCTGATGATTGAAACCTTTTACTATTTCAAATTGAGAAAGAAATGAGGTTTTGTATGCTATTACCTTATTCTTCTATTAGAAAAACATCCAAAGTAAATTATATCAGGAGGCCATAGTCCAATACTTCCTAAATTAGAGTGGATAGAAGCACAGAATATTTTTGAGTTGGAATGTACACCAGAGTTGCTTAGTGATTTATAAGTGGGAAAGCTGAGAACCAGGAAGGTTAGATACCTAACTCTTATTTGTTTGGGTTTATAACTATGCCCTAATCTTCTTTAGAACATCATGATTTGTGATATTATCTTATCACCATCAGTCCTTTGGTGTTTTGTACTTTCAGTCATAAAAAATTTTCGTTTAGAGACAGAGACAAATTTTTTCCTTGGCTGAACTTGGATATACCATCCCACTCAAGACTCTAGAAAATCAGATTTCACCAGCTGGTCACAGGACCTGAAAGAGTGGCCCTGTCATCATCTTATTCCACACTAACCTGGTTTTCTTTGTTGATTCTCCCTGAGACTTTAAAAGATAAGTACAGCAGGTGGCACCATTCACAGCTCACCCATCTACCTTGAGTAAGCTTGGCAAGTACACTTATTAAGTCTGCAGTGACCTCTGTGTAGACCTGGGGGCTGATTCAGTGAATGCTGCTTTTATGGCTCAGGTGTTGTCCTAGAAGTTAGCTGTCAGTGAGCTTCAGGTAAAGTTGCTGAGGGAGAGACATAAGCAGATTTAGTAAACTGTTTACATATTCCAAGCCTAACACTTTCTGAATTTTAAATAACTACACATAATTTTCTTTGTCTTCAGCATAATACGGATCAAGCATAATAAATACATCAAGAGTGAATTAAGCCGATTGCTGAAACGTGGTTGCACTTTGTTGGCTATAGAGAAAATATATGATGGCATGGTCAACATTCAAATGAAACGTAGAACAAACCCTGAGTCAGTCACATTCTGATCTTTTTTTTTTCCCCCAGATATTTATTTTTTCTTTTCTACAGATGTCTATTTTGCAACTCTGCTGGCTTTGTTCTTTTTCTTAATCTTGAGGCAGGTACAATGGGAGGTGAGATATTCCAGTCATTTCTGCCCCTTTTTTATTCATCTCCTAGTGGGTGAATGAGAGCTATGTTATAGCCTCCAGGGCTCAACAGATCTTTTCTCCTCTCTTCACCCTTCCTCTCTAGGATCAATCGGGATTGAAGGGTACATGGTAAAAAAGACATTCCTGGGTATTTTTTTCTACCATACTTCTAATTGCATTTGTTTTGTCACCCTTAGGACTACCAAGAAGCCTCCAATTTGGAACAATTTGTAACTCGATTTTTATTGAAGGAGACCCTGAATCAGCTGCAGTCTCTCCAGAATTCCCTGGAATGTGCCATGGAAACTACTGAGGAGCAAACACGTCAAGAAAGGCAACTTAAATGTTTTCATCTGATGTCTGTTTAGTGACTCTATGTTTATGAAAAAACAATTGAGAGGCATTGCACTTATACTACTGAAAAGTAAAAATGAGAATTGATATATTTTAAAAGAATAACAGTGACCTCCACTGTTGTTGCTTGCCTTATTATTTGCCTCTAAAAAGATCATTCCATTTTTTTTCTTTTACTGTAAGTCATTTAGTCAACTTTATTTATTTACAGATGGAGTCTCACTCTGTCGCCCAGACTGGAGTGCAGTGGCATGATCTTGGCTCGCTGTAAACTCTGCCTCCCCAGTTCAAGTGATTCTTGTGCCTTGGCCTCCCAATTAGCTGAAATTACAGGTGTAGGCCACCAGGCCCAGCTACTTTATTGTATTTTTTAGTAGATACAGGTTTTACTGTGCTGGCCAGGCTGGTCTTGAATTCCCAACCTCAGGTGATCCACCTGCCTCTGCCTCCCAAAATGCTGGAATTATAGGTGTGAGCCACCAATTCTGGACCTAGTCAACAAATTTTAATTGAAAATTCAGTTTATGGAGAAGACTTTAAAAGAGTATGAATAATACAAAGATACATTTAACATAATGTGAATCCTTAAGGAGGCCTATGTTTGTTATATAACTAAGACATGAACACAAACACTATGCTGCAAGGAACAAAGTGATAATAAATACCATAGAGAAGAGGAAATACATTGCCAATGGTTTAAAAAATAGTAAAAGATTAAATATGGATAGAGGGATGGAAGGATAAGAAAGTCAATTTCGTGGAATTTCTCTACTTAAGCTTGCGTTGCAAAATCAAGAGACCAGTGCAAAAGCCTGATGGGAAGACAAGACTTGAACTGGACCTTTAGGTTGAATTTGAATGGCAGAATGAGAGTCTCTCTAGTGGGATCCGTCTCACCCACCTTCTGTTACCCACCTCTCATCTGGCTGACTTCTCCTTGGTTGCCTGGTCACTGATTGGACAGTACTTTCTCTGGGAAGCTTTCACTGCTCATTCATACCTCCCACTTCACTACCATGTATTTTCACAGTGCCCTTTATTTAGATCTACTTATCTCAGCCCCTTCGTTGTTAATTTATTATAGTTTGAAAATGTGGAAATGATGGGAAAGATCCTTACAGACTACATGAACCTGGATACACTGGGGAGACCTGGGAATTCATTAAGCCTAATTATTTCAGGAAATGGAGAAAAGTGAATGATAGGAATTATTTCAAAATTCAGTGCCACCATAGGTATCACTGAGAAAATAAGTGGTCATATTGCAATAGCTATATAAATAAAAGCACTAATGCTTAAGAGAAACCTATATTAAAAATGTTTAAGGAAGACATCAAGGTAATCCCAGCCAACAATTATTTTTCTGAGTTGTCATTGCTTATACCGTGCAAGCTAGAGAAGCTTGCAAAACTCTTGCTCCTAGGGCATATTTTGGTTGATGTGTTACTTTAAACTTATAGACATGCTTTATCTAACTTTTACATCTTAAATTAGAGAGAAGCAAATAGTAAGTTTTCAGAACAGGCTGATAAGAGACTACCCTGTAGGACCGGTTTTTCTGAACAAATTAACTGATACATAATTATTAGGACATCTCCAAAATACTGGAATTTTCAACCATGTTTACAATGTCAAATTGAGTGAGCACCACCAAATTCTAACAAAAAAGCCTGTAATTCCAGGATCTAATCAGCCCATGCAGCTGACAAACACAGGGAAGTACTCTTCAATGGATCTGTGAAGCATTCTTTACATCATAAACTTCCTATTTTCACTGCATTGGGTGATTCCATATCAAATGGCAAAGTATAACAATTCACTTTAGAAAAGCAACTGATCTTTTTAGCTTTGAGCAGAGGATACCTGAATGTCTTGAAGCACAATGAAATTGATTGTGCTGGCCACCAAAAGTGAGGAGAGCCCTGGGACCTTCACCAGTGAAGAAAAGATAGAAAGGAAAACGATATATTTCCTATGAGGTCAATCAAGAGACCAATGAAAAAGCCTGATCAGAAGATAAGACTTGAATTGGACCTTTAGGATGAATTTGAATGGCAGAATGTTCTTAATGAGAACAATGAGGTATCCTGTGTTGTTTCTTTTGTTTAGACTTTCTGGAAATAAAATGGGAACTCCCTTTTTAGAATCAGTCATCTGCCACCTGAGAAGAGGCTTGAAAAAATGCTCTGACCCCCTTCTTCACCTGCACTTTTGTTTTTTCCTGCAGTCATCCCCTGCAAACTTGTGCTCTGCGTTTACCACCATGCAGTGAATGTTTAATGAACAGCTGTTCTTTGTGTTAGGCCACAGGCTAGCCCTGAATTCTTGTGGCTGCATCCAGCAGCTGCCTAGCAGCTGTGCTTAATGAGAAGGAGCATGACAATACAGACTTTAAGGAAAGCAGAAGACACTAGAGGATTAATAAGCCTTTTACTTCTGGATTTCTCACTCAAAAACAGCTTGAAATAAGGGGAAATGTTACATGTCTGACTGCAGTTTAAGGGGTGCTGTTGTATGGCATTTGACTAAGGCACCCAGGAATGACCAAACCCCACCCCAAATCTGGGATACTCCCTCTGAGAGGTTTCTAAAGAAACGCATAAACAACCAAACAGAAAATAAGGTATCAGACTGGGCCTGATAGCTCACGCCTGTAATCCCAGGACTTTGAGAGGCTGAGGTGCGTGGATCAGCTGAGGTCAGGAGTTCGAGTCCAACCTGACCAACATCGAGAAACCCTGTCTTTACTAAAAAATACAAAATTAGCCAGGTGTGGTGGCGCATGCCTGTAATCTCAGCTACTCCAGAGACTGAGGCAAATCACTTGAACCCAGGAGGCAGAGGTTGCGGTAAGCCGAGATGGTGCCATTGCACTCCAACCTGGGAAACTAGAGAGAAACTTCGTCTCAAAAAAAAAGAAAAGAAAAAAGGTGCCACTATGGATTTATGCCCATAACATCTTATGAACCAGACTTAACATGTGAATTAGGCCCAAATCTAAAGGGGCTGTGTCTCCTTTCCAAACACTATGATCAGCTGGCCATGAAGAAAAGATAGAAAGGAAAACTATACATTTCCTATGAGGTCAATGAAGAGACTAATGAAAAAGCCTGATCAGAAGATAAGACTTGAATTGGACCTTTAGGATGAATTTGAATGGCAGAATGAGATTCTCTCTAGAGGGATCTGTCTTACCCACCTCGTGTTACCCATCTCTACCTGGCTCACTTCTCCTCGTCTGTCTGGTCATTGATTAGACAGGACTTTCTCTGGGAAGCCTTCACTGCTCATTTATGCTTCCCACTTCATTACCATGTATTCTCATAGTAGTATTTATATCTACTTATCTCACCCCCTTCCTTGTTTACCTCCCTCATTAGACATCAAGTTTTTAGATGGCAGAGACTTTGCATAAATCCCCTCTACTTACTACAACTGCATGGTAAACATATGAAGTGAATGAATGAAAGGAATTCTAGGTGAAAAGAGAGCTACTGAGGAGCAGTTGATGAGGATGTAGGACAGTGAGGAGAGCAGTCTAACAGGCATCTTGGGTTCAGAAAGATCTTAAAAGCTAGACAGATGCATTCAGATTTAATTCTGTCAGAGAATGTCATTGGCAGTTGTAAACAAAAGAACATCATGAAAACAATATTCAAGAAAAATTCATCTAACAATAGTATGTGGTACAGATTTGAGGAATACGAACAGGCTCAGTGAGGATGGGTCAAATCAGTGTATCCAAAAATTCATCAGTTTTTTGTTTGTTTTAAGACGAAGTCTTACTCTGTCGCCCAGGCTGCAGTGCAGTTGCGCGATCTCAGTTCACTACAACTTCCACCTCCTGGGTTCAAGCAATTCTCCTGTCTCAGCCTCCAGAGTAGCTGGGACTATATGCACCCACCAACATAACCAGCTAATTTTTGTATTTTTAGTAGAAATGGGGTTTCACCATATTGGGCAGGCTGGTCTCGAACTCCCGACCTCAGGTGATCCACCCACCTCGGCCTCCCAAAGCGCTGGGACTACAGGTGTGAGCCACTGCATACAGCTAATTCATCAGTTTTTTATGTCACATAGGAAGATTTTATGATGCCTTTCACAGTGAAGAGCTGCAACCTGCAGGCCAGGCACAGTGGCTTATGACTGTAATCCCTACAGTTTGGGAGGCTGAGAAGGGTGGATCAGTTGAGGTCAAGAGTTCGAGACAGCCTGACCAACATGATGAAACCCTGTTTCTACTGAAAATTCAAAAAATTAGCCAGGCATGGTGGCAGGTGCCTGTAATCCCACTTACTCAGGAGGCTGAGGCAGGAGAATTGCTTGAACCCAGGAGGTGGAGGTTGCAGTGAGCTGAGATCGTGCCACTGCATTCCAGCCTGGGCAACAAGAGCAAAACTCCATACCAAAACAAAACAAAATAAAACAAAAAAGAGTTGCAACATGCAGATATCATTAAAATCCTAGAGTTGTGATAATTTGCTTTTCCTTCAGCATCAATATTACTTTTGGATTTAATATTTGTGAAACCTAGGGATATAAAGACTCCTTAGAATATAGCAAATTTAGGAAAGTCATCTATTCCATCCAACAGCCCCAGGGGAGAATCACAGAGTATAATTCATCCTGCAGTAATGAGTTAGACATGCCATGTTGGGCAAAATGTCTGTGTCTATTCATGTAAAATTGGTTATTTGAGAGAAATGTGTATAGCTGGAATGCCACAGAGGTGAAATTTTCAGATAACATTCTGCAACAGTCTTTGTATCTGCCCTGGCAAACAGACTAAATGTGAATTATATTAATTCCATGTCTTCAGAAAGTGAAGCTTTGAAATAGCTAATGAAAAGAATAATAATCATGTCGTATGGAAGTTTCCTCCTAGAGTTGCCCTGTTCTCTTAAATAAACCTCTCTTCCTAACAAACTAAACTTCTGGGACACAGTTTTCATTATATGTGGATTTCCTTTTTATAATGGAATCTGCAAGTTTGCTCTATTTTCCAAAGTTCTTCTATATTCAGGGATGTAATTAACTCCTTCTTGACTTGAAAGTTACTTTTCTCCTTTTGATAGTTGTCTATTATAGAAGGAAGAGCTTTAATTTTACATATAGGTGGTTATGAAAGTTTCGACACCTTACATTTCCTTAGCTTGAACATACAGAACGATTGCTCCAATCATCTACTCCCCTGACCACCAAATCTGCTAAAATCTTGGATTTTTTTTTTTAAACAGAGTCTCACTCTGTTCCCAAGGCTGGAGTGCTCACTGCAACCCCCGCCTCCCAGGTTCAAGTGATGCTCCTGCCTCAACCTCCCAAGTAACAAGAATTACAAGCACCTGCCACCACACCCAGCTAATATGTGTATTTTTAGTAGAGACAGGGTTTCACCATGTTGGCCAAGTTGGTCTTGAACTCCTGACCTCAGATGATCTGCCTGCCTCAGCCTCCCAAATTGCTGGGATTATAGGTGTGAGCCACCATGGCTGTCCAAAAACTTGGATTTTTTTTATACCATAGAAAAATTCATAGGAAGATTTAGTTAAAGATTGAAGATTAAACATACATGATTTATTTTGCGCTCTCCCTAAACCCTTTAAAAAATGACATTAAAAGTGCATATGATTTCTTTTGCTCTCTCTTTAAACTCTTCAAAAAATGACATTAAAAGTACCTAGACAAAAGGAGGCATTAACCTGCAAAAATAAGAATAGAAGAAGAGCCAAAGGACAGAAACTTGGAACCTGGAGAGAAAGTGAATCTAGTGGAAGTTGATTCAAAAGCTCTGAGAAAGCTGAAACTGAAGCAGGCAATATAAGAAGCCACAATGAGATATATTTGGTATCACTAAAGCTCAGAAAAGCTCCAGACTTGGCTGTACCATGGGGAACTGATAATGAGGGCAGAGGTAGGGCTGATATATTGTTGGAACCTCCACCCAGTGTTATATAGTGACGGCTCCTATATAGTGAAGAACCCCAGAGATAAGCTCTCTGGAGAAGGTGTGCAGATGTATACCTGGCACAAATGATAGGGTACAATACTAACAAAGGAAACGCAAAGTGAAGGTCTCCATGTTGAAGAGTGAGATGCAAAATCCCCTTCATATGTTGTACTCCCAGAGTACTAACAATGAAGCTCACGCCCCCCCACCCCCCGCCTAGTTGGGGCATGCTTCGTTGAGGGATCTGAGTAATCCCATAGAAAATAATTAACAATGCCAATAGTCAGGGTACCCTGAAGAACAGGCCCAGCCACGCCACTGTACAGTAAAGACTGCAAGTTGGCAATCCCTGCCACACACATGCAGATTCCAGTCAGCCTTGCAGTTCCTCCTTCTAAAATGTGTGAAGTCAACCAAAAGGACAAGAAAAGAAACTTGGAACAAACAAATAATCCAGAAAGCAGACAAAAACTTTCAAAAGAAAGTTTTCAGTACCTTCAGAAATGTAAGAGAAGATATGGCATTTATGAATTAAAGATAGAATGCTTTATAATAATATTCAAAACACATAAAAGAGGTCTTAGAAATTATAATTGCAAAAATTACATTCTCTGAGGAAGGTTTAGATATCAGAAAAATTATCAAAGGAAGAATTTAAGAAAAATTGTCAGAATTGGGACATATGTGTCCAGCTTGATAGAACAGACCAAGAGCTCATTATGATGCTAATAAAAGCCAACAAAAAACCATGCCATTATGAAGTTTCACAATACGGGAAACAAAGACAAGTGTCTAAAAACTCCCAGAGAGAAAAACCAAGCCGTATGCAAATAAGAAAACATTGGATTTTTCACTAGTGACTCTGGGAGATAAAACACAATGGAGCAAATTTTTCAAAACAATTGGCAATCTAGAAATCTATATTCCATGAAACCATCAACAAAGTAAGGTAGATGTTTATTCATGCAATGTTTCAAGACTTTTACCTTTCATTATGCACCATTTCTATTTTTTTTTTATTTTTTTATTTTGAGATGAAGTCTTGCTCTGTCGCCCAGGGTGCAGTGAGGTGGTGCGATCTTGGCTAACTGCAACCTCTGCCTCCCAGGTTCAAGAGATTCTCCTGTCTCAGCCTCCTGAGTAGCTGGGACTACAGGTGCCTGCTACCACGACTGGCTAATTTTTGTATTTTTAGTAGAGTCCATATTGGCCAGGCTTGTCTCTAACGCCTGACCTTGTGATCTGCCAACCTTGGCTTCCTAAAGTGCTGGGATTACAGGCATGAGCCACCACACTTGGCCAGGCACCATTTCTTATGAAGCAATTAGGGGATATTTTCCACCAAAACAAAGGTGTCAACTAAGAAAAAAAAAATGAAATCTAGTAAAGGGGTATCAGAGGTCATCCAACACAGGAGAAAGGATAAAGGAATCTTCCCTAGCTGATAGATAATGAAGCTGATAGATAATGAGTAAATTAATCTTAGGTTTGTCTTAAACACAGAAGAATTATATCTTACACAGAAAAGATTATATCTCCTATAAAGAAATCTTGTTGGAGGCAGCTTAAATATCATGTCCTTACAGATTTATCATAGACTTTCTGTCTTTTTCATGTATTAAGTACATATTAATATAACAAACTAGTCTCAGGTTTGCCTCATACTCCAAGATGTTTGTTGGAGATCCAGCTACTATGTTCACATTTCAACCAGGAAAGAAGATGAAGGAAAGACAAAAGGGCTCCCTTCTAGCTGAATCTGTACCTTTAAGCAGCCTTCCTGGAAATTCCTTATAGCATTTCCATTTGTATATCATTGGCCTGAGCTTTCCATATTGCAAATTTAATAGATAAAGCCTAAAACTAAAAATTAAAGGCATAGCAATTTAAGCATGTTATATACTGATAATTTAGCAGGTATTTACTTTCATATCAATATATAACATATACTGTACATAGTACATAACATACTGTATATAACATATACTTTAACATATATAACTTTCATATCATAATATATATTGATATGGAAGTAAACACCTGCTAAAAAGTGTGCCTTTTTGAAAGAGGAGTGGAAATATGATATGGGAGTGAAAGGAGGGAGCTTCTATTTGTTGAAATAAGATTTACAGAATTATTTAACTGCTAAAAATATATGGATGTATAGCGTTGATCCAAATTTAAAAACTGAATTATAGAAAAAAACTCTGTGTTTTCAAACTAAACAAAATACAATAGTTGCATATACATAAATGTTTTTCCATCGAAAGTTGACCAACGAAGGAAAAAAGTCGACCTTAAATTACAATTTTTACTCAAAGTTTTAAGAATAAAGCAAGGTCAGAATTCTCTTCCTTAGGTTCACATACTGTAGTACCAAATTATGTTGGGTTTCTAGAGTGTTTACAAGCAGTCATTCTCATATGTTTTTATTTCACTGCACTAGAAAACCTTTGTGACTGACATATGAAGATCTGTTCCTTGAGGGAAGAGGGAAGAGACTGAAGCACTAACATTAAGGTTAAATGTTATATCTGTTATTCAAGGCAAGGGCCAGCCAAGCCAGAAGTCCTGTCAATTCAATGGCCTGGAAAACGATCAAGCCGCCGAGTCCAGAGACACAACAGCTTCTCCCCAAACAGCCCTCAGTTTAATGTCAGTGGTCAAGGTAACTTATCCTTCATTGTTTTTCTTTGTCAAAGTCAATTTATCTTGCGTTTTCCAATTGATTATTTTAACAAACAACAGATAAGACAATAGTAATGGAACACTTTCCTTATACCAAGTAAGTTCAAGACAGAAGCAGTGAAGGGCAAAGGGTATGAAGAACTAGAGTGGTGAGCCTAACCATCAGCACTGTCAAAATCCTAACAGTTGTGCCTGGAAAGCACACAGAGAGATGGTAAATAGGGAAGGCAGTATCTCCATCCACTAATATCTAAAAGACGTGATTTCTGTACGACTGACTCCCCATCATCTTGAAATAAAGGGGCTCTACAAATATCCTCTAGGTCTCCAAGCCTCCCTAAACATATTGTAAGTTCATTTAGGAAAAGGATCCTTGTTTGCATGATAGGATTAGTCATAGCTGGTGTTTTTGAAGTTTGTAATATGATGTTGGATTTATTGGGCTAAACCATACACATAACTGTTAGGTTATTAAATTCTAACTGAGTCACTTATAACCCTTTTAAAATCAATTTGAAATATGCAAACTCATGTTGCTAAATATTTGAGTAATTTTTATAAAGCATGCATATATACATGTCACTTGAACATATCATTTTAACACAAATGAGTTTTTAAATATCTAATGCAAATCAAGGTATAAACTACATCCTATATTTTTACCAATTGTACTTGAAAGATTTCAGAGCATTTTCATGAATAAAGCCTTATTTTATCTTGACACCTTATAAGGTTGATGTTAATTTCCCTATTTCTCCATTTCACAGGTAAGGAAACAAGCCTGGGAACTTAAGTGATTTGTCCAAAGTCATATGAAGTATTAGCCCATTTTTATTGTGATGTGACTTTTAAAATCTTGATGGTTACACTTGTGGATACTTGTTTTTCTCTCTCATGAGTCTACGGTTGGTGATTTGGGCAATTTCAGCTGAATGTGGTTTCAGGCTGTATGTAGCTTTTCAGCTCCACTTCTCATGTAGCCTCCTTCTGGAATAAGCAACAACTGGAACATTTTCTTCTCCTGGTGGATGTCAGAAGCACATGCAGCCAGCCCAGAATTATACATGCATATTAAAAGTACATGTTTTATGTACTGTGTGCATCTTGTCTGCTACCTCTCCATTGGCTAAACGAGTCACATGTCAAGCACAGAAACAATGGGGAGGGAAATGTGCTTCATCCATTATAATAGGAGATACTGCAAAGTTGTGGTGCAAGGGTATATACAGATACTTCCATAGCATGAAGAAAGGGAAGAATTAGGAAAAATAATACAATCTACCACATGAAACTAGAAAATAATAATGCTAAGCTCCTGAAACAAAATATAGATGGTTCTTTCCATTTTAACCATTTAGAAAATAGAACAAAATATCTTTCCTTGGGTCTTTGATGTGACAGCAACCTTAAATTATTTTGGGAATAACCCAGATTAAAAATATTGTATTAGAATTTAAAAAACATAAATTTTATTAATACATGTATAATATTTTCTCTAATCAGCCCCTTTCTTTTTTTTTGAAGCCACTTCTTTGCAGCAGTGCCAATGCTCATTTTTACATCATAATTTGGTGGGCTTTGAAAGGTGATTCCTCCAAGAAGGCAGGTGGAGAAGTAAATTCTGAGGACATGATTGTCCCTTTATAATTTAGGTCTTGTCTCTATTGCATTCAAAGCTAATGCAAGGCTTTATAGTCTTGAATTCAATCACATCCTGATTTCAAGAAATATTAAACAATACTATTTCAGCAAATGCCTATAAAAACATTTTTATTAAGCTTCAATCAGTATAAACAAACATGCCAGGATGTTTGTGCATGAGCTCAGACCATAACTCTTCCCTTTGCATAATAATGTTAATAAAAACAATTGTAGTAGCAGAACTTCTATAATATTTAACATGGTACTAAATACACACACACACACACACACACACACACACACACACACACATACACTACATGCCTATGTATACAAATGTATGTATATATCATATATGTGACTATAGATCAACAGGCTCCAGCCTGTACTTGTAATCACTATGCCATGATTATAGAGCCATGTATGTATACTCAAGTTAGTTCCTGGGAAAGGAGCAACTATCTTGCCCTTATGCTTCTTTTTGGTTGTAGCAGTTTACACCTTGCCATGGTCAGGGGTATGGTTTCACTGGCTCTTGCCACTCCCCTACAAGTAAGTTTAGAATTGTTGATTGATGCTTTCCTTTTTGCAAAAGAAAACCAACTACATTATGGGGTTTTATAAATGGCTCAGCAGGATCTTTTCAAAGATCTTTCAAAGATCTCAGCAGGGTCTTTGTAAAGGCCGGACAGGCAATTACATAAAAAACAGGCCTGTGGAAGTGAACCCCTGGGATGCATGGATTTATGGAAATCAATAACTTAGAAAACGCTCATGAATACATTTAAAAAAATGACCAGTCAGTGACACTGCATCCTTCCTTCAGGGTTGAAGAAAAGCTCTGAGATAACCAAGCATTTCTCCTCTGTCTAAAGTTTAACATATTGCCCTCATGATTCCCCCGACCCCAGGCTTATTAGAAGAAGACAACCAGTGGATGACCCAGATAAATAGACTCCAGAAATTAATTGATAGACTGGAAAAGAAGGTAGGTGCTTTATTTTCGTTATTCTTTCTTCCAGTTATCAAGATATTCTGACCCAATATTCCTCATTGCTTCTTATCCATGGCTGCCCCATAGATAGAATAACAGACAGGATTGCAATGATTCTATGAATGGCTGTTTGGTAATTTAGGTTTTGTTGTTGTTGTTAAATACAGAAGCTTACATTAATTCTCCTCCAACCTCCTACCCCCATTATATTTAAAATAGGATGTGGAGTTGAGAGTTAAATAAATCTAACTGTACTGCCTGGCTCTTAGGTTTTCAAATGAACTAGGTGACAGTGTGCTTGAATGATGCTAATGACAGTTCTTAGGGATAAGATGGTTGAAGTCTTAGGAATCTTTCAAATTAATTCAGGAAAATGGCAGTGCTATCTACCAAAAGATGAGATTCCACATTCAACTTCTGGAAATTAGCACATTAACTGATGGTTTCGGTACTAAAACTATCTAAGCAAGCAAGTTAGAATATGAGGAAGAGTTCTTTATAACTATATTTTATGTTCCTAATTATTGTATTTTTATTTATTTAGTTAGTACCAAATAGTCCTGATATTATAGTGATATTCTCCTTAAACATCTTTGATGGGAGAGACAACTTTTGTCAATCAGTAAGAAAATGTTTTCTGCACATATCAGGCACCAAGGAAGAAACATTTATGTTTGTGACAGCACTGACTTTGAAGAAAACCATTATCTACTTATACAACCAAGCTATACTCCTAAAGAGAGAGAGAGTTAACAGATTATTTTAAAAAAATAGTTGGTAGCACAGAATGAAATTCATAGTTGATGGTCAGTAAATATTTGGTGACTAACCAAGACATGCTAAAGGAATGGAGCAAATGTCAAAATCTCTCCGTGTTCACCTCATGGGTTGATCACTGTGACCTGGGGTGCTCAGGAAGGACTTTGTGTGACAGGAAGAGTTCAAATGGTGCTTTAAAAATGGTGACTTAATTAAAAATGTTATTGCAAACAACAGAAATCATTTCTCTAATTAAAAAAAAGAGTTTTCTGGAAGAATATGGAAGCACTCACAGAATCAACAGATAGTCCAAAGATCTGAATTAGGAGAAGTCAGGAGACAAGATAACCCTAGAGAACTAGATAGCAAGAAATACTCAACAGTCTCTCAAGTTATCTCCACTGGAATAAATGAGTTTCTGCCATTTCCAGTCTGCTGGCTTTCTGTTCAAAATTCTGCTTCCCAGAAGAAGAGTCTGGTTGGTCATGGTAGGGTTGCATTGCTGACCTCCTAGATAGGGGAGGGGAAAAAGTCTTGATAACAATCCCAGAGCACAGTATAGAAAGAAGAAGAAATAATTCAATGAAAAGAAAATATATTGTCATTAAAGTTGGAATAAACGCTGATCAGCTAACTAACAAGGAAACTAATATTTGCTATGGAGAAGTAAAATTTTAGTAAATAGAGGGCAGCTGGAAAGGGCATTCAGGTAAGGTGATGGCATGAGCAAGGTTCAGTAGATCAGCCTGGTTGATAGTCTTTCATGTAAGGAAATCATAACAAATGAGGTTTATGGACAGCCTCAAATAATAGTCTAAGGAATTTGGACTTGGTCCAGGAAACAACAGAAGGCATTTATTATTTTTTAACAGATAAGTGACAAACCAAAAAAATCCTTTAGATAGGAAATTGGGCAGCAAGATGCAAAGTGAATGAAAACAAATGAAAAATGGATGAAAACAAATGAAAAATGGATTAAAACAAGAAAAATGAGGCTCAGAGACACTACAGCCAGCTCAGACAATGGCACTGAAGAGCAGGTTTGTGCAACTGAACCCAGTGAAGTCAGGTATGATAAGAGATGGGCCTGTATTAATCTGATAAGTCAGAAGAAAATGGTAGATTTGAAACAATTGAAGTGAAATTAATAGCACTATTGAATGGGTTAAGGGCAGGCGGAGCTCAAATAAGAATCTGAGGATAGGAGCCTGTGTTTCCGAAACAATTAATTATAGCATTAAGAGAAAAGGAAGAAACATGTGAGAGATAATTTGTGAGATAAGGTGAGAAGGTGAACTAGTTTTTTTGATGTGTGAATTTGAAGGCGCAGTGGAACACTTAGGCAGAAATAGCTAGTTAGATGTTAGCAGGAGGGAAGTCAGGCCAACAGGTTAAGGTCTTTAGACTTATCTCCACAAAGATGAACTCTCAAGTTATGTTTTCTTTCCTCAAGTCCTGAGGGTGGGTAAGGGCTCTGAAAAGGGAGATTCTGTGCAAGAAGAGCCATGTCAAGGGGAAACAGCCCTGTAGAGTTGTTGTCCCTCTGCAATGGTGTCTTTATTTGTTAAATTTATATTGACCACTTACTGAAGCAAGTACCTAAACTACTAGCTTCATGCAAATCAACTTTCCTCCTTTCTTATTTTATTGATATGTGTGCTGAAACTAAAAGATTTGTAGGAAAAATAGTGGCTGTGAAAATTAGTTTTCCAATATTGGAAAGCCAAATCCAGGACCTCTACTTGAAAACTAAAGCTTATTGAAACATAAGGATTCCGTTGTTAAATAAGTTCAGATTCATTTAAAGAACACAAATACCTCTTTTTAAAGTGGTTTTGAAATTTTGGACAAAACTGTCTTTATTTGATATCTGAAATTTTTATAGTTATTTTTAAAGGAATGGCTCAAACTTAGTTCATGCATTTTTTCTAACTTTAAATCAAAGTTTTGTCACATTTCTTTTTATCCTAGACTTTTTCTGCCTCCCTTCCTATAAAAGGGTTTCGTTTTGAGGACAGTATCTAAGAGGTTTGCTAAAAGTACAATGTGATGGTTTTCAGCATGGGGCTCCAGCTGTGTGGAGCTCAGTGTGAGCTGTCTTAATGAATGGAGAAGCAGTGCAAGTTCAGTTTTCCACATCTTATTCTGCACCGTGCTGATGAGGTTTTTAGAGGAAAAACTACCCAATTGCCAAACAGTGGCTGAGTGCACGTCATTTCACTGCTAAGTACCTTGTCTCCTGTAGTTGTTAACACTAGGTTTGATCTTCCCATTAAAAGGAAGTGTACCTGCAGTGGAACATATGTTTTCTCTCTATTAAGTATTTATGATAAATTCTTCCTGCAGTGAAACCAAGCCCTATTCCATGCATACAGGGGAATGTAACACAGCAATTTCTATAAGTTTCTTCAGGTATTCCTGGTATCCATTTCAGACTCCATAAGTGTTCACGGGGATATACTGAGTTATGTCTTGTGTTTTGCTTAATCCCTGTAGAAAACACCTTTAATGGCCGGGTGCAGTGGCTCATGCCTGTAATCCCAGCACTTTGGGAGGCTGAGGCAAGTAGATCACCTGAGGTCAGGAGTTCAAGACCAGCCTGGACACCACGGTGAAACTGTCTCTTTACTAAAAGTACAAAAATTAGCCGGGTGTAGTGGTGCACGCCTGTAATCCCATCTACTTGGGAGGCTGAGGCAGGAGAATCACTCTTACCCAGGAGGTAGAGGTTGCAGTGAGCTGAGATAGTGCCACTTCACTCCAGCCTGGGCAAAAGAGTGAAACTCACTCTCAAAACAAAACAAAACACCTTTAATGTTTAACAAAATAACAACAAGGACAACAATGAAAGCTCTTCATTCATTAAGTCCTCAGTGTATCATCAGATCACAGGACATTCTCACTTGAAAGGATATAATTCAGGATGTAATACTCATACAACTTGTTTTAAGTCTTCTGTATCTTAGATCACGGAATGTAGAACTGCAAATTGTACCTTAGTTAGTGTCAGGGAAATAGTGGTCAAAGAGGTTACTAGGTTACAGTTTCTACCTGTGGAGTACTTTTTAGTTTTCAATTCACATCTATATGCATTACATATAATTTTGCCTTCATGGAAAAACTATGATTTGGACAGGGCATTCATTCAGTCATTCATTTATTCAACATTTATTGAGTACTTACTGTGTGTCAGGTACTATTCCAGCAGTGGAAATATAGCAGTGATCAAAAGAATATCCTTGGTCTTTGAAGAGACAGATAAGAAAACAAATCTAGAAACAAGATAATTTCAGATAATGGAAAGTGCTGTAAAGAAAAAGTAGAGCAATATAATGCAGATAGGTGGTTGAATACTCCACATGAGTGGTCTGAGAAGGTCTCCCTAATAAGGTGATATTCTAATAAGGTGAGATGTGAAAAACAAGAAGCCAGCTATGTAAAGCCATAGAGATAGAGAATTTACAGCAAAGCAGGGAAAGTGAATTCCACAGAAGTTAAATACCTTGCCAAAAGTTCCACCACAAGAGAACAGCACAGCTAGAATGACATAGCTCTATTATCAACAGGCATATGTTATTTCAGATAGTCTGGCTTTTTACAGTTTTCACTTCTTATCTATTTGAAGAGTTATTCTACATAATCCTCATTGGAAACAATGCTAGGATAGCCATTCACAGAATGAAATTCTGAGAGATGAAGCACTTGGTTTCACTGGGGACATTACCATTATTCATTGGTCATCACAGGAGACATTAAGGTCTTAATTCTCAAAAGAAGATATACAAAGGGCTAACAAACATGAAAAAATGCTCAGCATCACCAACGATCAGGGAAATGTAAATCAAAACCATAATGTGATACTACCTAATTCCTGCAAGAATAGCCATAATCAAAAAATAAAAAAATAATAGATGTTGGTATGGAAGTGGTTAACAGGGCACACTTCTACATTTCTGGTGGGAATGTAAACTAGTAAAACTACTATGGAAAATAGTGTGGAAATTCCTTAAAGAACTAAAAGTAAAACCACCGTTTGATCCAGCAATCCCACTACTGGGTATCTACCTAGAGGAAAAGAAATAATTATACAAAAAAGATACTTTCACACACATGTTTATAGCAGCACAATTTGCAATTGCAAAAATATGGAACCAATCCAAATGCCCATCAATCGATGAGTAGATAGATTATGGTATATCTATGTGATGGAATACTACTCAGTCATAAAAAGGAATGAATTAATGGCCTTTGCAGTAACCTGGATGGGACTGGAGATTATTATTCCAAGTGAAGTAAGTCAGGAATGGAAAACCAAACACTGTACGTTCTCACTCATAAGTGGGCGCTAAGCTATGAGGATGGAAAGGCGTAAGAATGACACAATAGACTTTGGGGACTCAGGAGAAAAGGTTGGGAGGGAAGAGATGGATAAAAGACTACAAATTGGGTTCAGTGTATAGTGCTTGGGTGATGGGTGCACCAAAATCTCACAAACCACCACTCAAGTACTTGTATAACCAAATACTTCCGGTTCACCAAAAACGTATGGAAATAAAAAAAAATTTAAGACTTCAAGATCTTTATAAGAGTTACTCACTTTTAGCAAATATTAATTGTATTTTCATTACTCTTTAATTTACTTTCAGCCGGGCGCAGTGGCTCACGCCTATAATCCTAGCACTTTGGGAGGCTGAGGTGGGTGGATCACCTGAGGTCAAGAGTTCAAGACCAGCCTGGCCATCATGGTGAAACCCCATCTTTAAAAATAAAATAAAATAAATTTACTTTCTATTTAATAAAGAAAATGAGCACTAAGGTGTAAATGTATTGTAATAGACTAATGTTCATAATAATGTCCCAAGAAATATAGAAATGTGGCAATACTCATAGTAAAATAAATCAGACTGTTAGCTTAGTCATTCTAACTTTTTCCTTTTCTTTTGTTTGCCTTCCTATCCTTTTGCTCCCTGTTTTAATGTATCTCTTCCACTTTGCTCTCTAATGGCATCCAGGAAGTAAATTTAAAGCAATACATCGAACACATCTAAAACAGCTTCTTACAATTGATAAACGAGTACAGAGTCTTTATCAGAACAGCTTAGTTTTTAAAAATCAGAATTATTTAATCTTTCAAATAATCATGTTCTTTTGGTTCAATATTAGCGATGAAAGAACTATGATTTGAATATATGGCATTTTTTTAAATGATGTAATTTTTATTTTTTTCTGACATTTCTTTCTCTTATTGAAGGACCTCAAACTTGAACCACTGGAAGAAGAAATTATTGAAGGGAATACTAAATCTGTAAGTATTTTTTATCAGGTAAAAATGTTAGAAATATATTCTATAAAAACATAATTTCTTCAAAAATTAGTCATTATCTTAATGAAAAATCAAAAAACTAGTCGTATTTCATTTTATATGGTTAAATAGTGCCTTCTTCATTGTGATTTATGTAAACCTAATAACTACTTCACGGCTTTTATGACAGTACTTGGCATGTAATATGTGTAAAATGAGCATCATATACATGTATAAATCAATGAATTATTGAATAATTGAAGAAATATGACTGGTAGAGAAGGGCAACATTTAAGTTGTAAATCCTACTATTTTGAATACTGGATATACCTGAGTTGAAACCAGGTTCTGTTCATTATTATATTTCCAGCATTTAGCCTAGGGCCGGGTAAACTAAAAATGCTCAGAAATAATTTTTCAAAGAATAAATAGATTTTTAGAGAAAAGGGAACATTTGTATCCCTAGGTATAAGACGTCCATTCGGAGTGGCAGCACTTTTTGAAACAGAAGAAAAATGGACAAAGGGATACTAAAAGGTACATTAAAATGCAACAAAAACAAGTTAGTAAATAATTAAAAGCATTACATCCCATGCTTTATTATTTACCCTTATGTTGAGGCAAACATATATAGCACATTCTGTTTCAGGAAATTGGATGTTTACATTTACATTTAGTGGAAATTTGGATTTTAAAATCTTGAGTAACTAGGAGAAAAATCATTTTTAATACCTTAAATGTATTATACACTTTGCAGATATTGAAGAATCGGTCACATTTATATGAAACAAAGATAGGAAATAATCTTTCATCTCTGAATGTGCACAAGCACTGACTACATGATAGAGGAAGGTGAGACCCATCTGTGTATAAGGCTCCTGCCTATCTGTCCAAATTCATAATCCAAAGGGATTCTTCAGAGGAAGCTTTGTGGGATTCTCAGAAAAGCTTAATCATAGCTGGCACTGTTAGAATCCTATAGTTATGAATACTTTCTTCCAATAAGGTGTATCTGTCACTGTATGTCTAGTGTTTTTATCCCTCCAGAGACAAGGCTGTAATCTATGTTAATTCATCAAGAACCCAACATTTTAAAATGGTAGGCTTTCATGGGAAAGTGGGAGGAGAGTGGTGTTGAGCATATATAATAAGAATAGTGGGTTTGTGCAGTCCCAGAGGCAACAGGAATTGTTAACCTTGTGATCATGCATCCGTTACCTTCTCATAAGTTTGCATATAGGAAAAACTATACTCCAGTCAAAGGAAAAGCAAATATAACTTTTCTAATGTTATGAGAGATAGTTGTCTATTCTTAAATAATTTTCTAATATGAGATTATTTTTTCTCTCTGGCTATGAGAAAGAAAAATTCTCTAAGGATTGTTTGTGAAAGGAGGCAGCTATTCCATTTTCAGGTCCCTGAGCCACCAATGCCAATGCCAATTTTAAAAGATCAACATACACAACATTACTAATTCAGTTGTGCATAGAAGTACTTTAAACAAATAAAACTGCACAAGGTCATTCAGCTTTCAATATTGTTTGAAAGCAGGAAAGGATATTCCCTATTTCCAACCATATATACAGTTATAATAATTATGCTCTTTGGGAATAGACATATAGTAAAGATTTAAACTGGTTTGTCTTTTCAGAAGTAACAATAAGATATTTGTCATTAAAAGTTGTATTTTGTATTAATGGTAGTAAGTGCATTACTATAAGTTCCTATAAAACCTCCTATATTCAGAATGACTAAAATTATTTTTCACTGTTATTTCACAGCTAGTGCTCATAACTGTATCCTACCATGTGTTAAATGATTTATCCTGATGCCCAAAACCAGTTTTATAATTCATTGAGTAGAGAGGTATTTTTCCTTTTTCATTAGTGAATGCATGAAAACTTGGAAAAATAAATTTTATGACAGAAAGCAAAGAATAAATTTGTATTACACTTGGTTTTTGAAATGCTAATCTTTACTGATCCTTTGCTTTGTACCAAGTGTTGTACTAAACACACACATTACTCACTTAATCCTCACAATAGCCAGATGAGGTAGTGCTATCCTCAGACTCATTTTGTTAATGAAGAAATCAAGGTTTAAAGGAGTTTACCTACCATAGCTGAACCGCTGCAGTTCAACCCCAGACCTATGCTCATCAGCATGCTCTGACATTTTCAGCCCTAGTGTTTACTGGATTTCTAGCCTGTAAAGTACAACTGCTGTTTGCTAGCAGGGTTGTGGATGAATGGATGATTGTTTCATGAGATTCCCTACGAGAGCAGAGCAGATTGTCTGGCAGGCTTGTTTAAGAACACAGCAAAAGTCCTGAACCCTAGCAACTGTCATATCTAGTTTTCTGGGCAATGAGCCATTACATAATGATGAATCTAGGATATAATTTCTTCAGTCCATTTTTTTTCTCAGCCCAGAGTAAGAGATGTAACACTTATTGAGTACCTGTCATGGGAAGGATCCTTATATACACTATTCTATTTAATTCTCCCCAAAACTCTAATATAAGTACCATTATTCTAATTTTATGTTATTAAGAGACAAACTGAGAAAGGATTAAGCAACTTGTTAAAGGCCACATAGGAAAAATGAAGCTAATTCTTCTTACTTTATATCCCTGCTCTTGAAGGAGAAGGAAGAAAGGAAAAAGAGGACAGGGTGAAGGAGACAGATGAAAGAGCAGCTAACAATTGCGCAGTGCTGTTGAGTTTCCAGGGCCACCTCAAATCCTATTCTGGAATAAATGAAGTTTATTAAGGGGATTGTAAGATTAGTCAATGGCTAAGAGCAAAAACATCTTTAATGTGTTCGTTCCACAAATAACTTGATCACCAACTATGTTCCAGGCCTGGAGAGAGGCATCTGAAATAAAGTGGTGAATATTATAAGCTAGGAGGAAATTATACAGAATTTACAATACAATGTGATGAGGATTATTATAGGAAAGTATAGATTTGCACAATAAGGGGGCACAACTCAATTTAGGAGACCAAGGAATGCTTCCAAAAGGTCATAATATTTAAGATGAAGTCATAAAAAATAAATAGAAATTTTTCTAAAAAAATATATATCTCTTACTACATAGAATGTTTCTAACACTGTACTAAAAGAACACTAAAGTGCTAGATAGAAATATTTAAATGTTCCAAATGATTTATAACAAGCATATTATAAAGATGCGCCTGTATGGCACTTCTTACCAAAAGAGTAGTGCAATAAGATGATCACTTTCCAGATATTTTCTTCATTCAAAAGTTTTCAAAAAGTCATGATAATTTTAAACAACATATGAGTATATTCTTATGCTTTTCAAAAACTCAAACTTTTCTTCAGCACATTGTTGTTATAATACACTAAAATAGCTTATCATACAATGAGTCTACAAACCTAGTATCTTTTTCTGCCTTTCTACACTCATATAAAACCAACGGATACTGTCTTGTGAAGTCAATCCATTCTTCCATACATTCCTAAGGCTTTGGGGCTATTGTCAGGTAATATAACAGGGACTATCAAAAGATAAGTCTTGTTCTACCATGACTGTTAAGAGAGTCAATGAGAGCATACAAGAAAGACTATGGTATCTCTGAAGACATACTTGGAACATAACTGTAAATGTAGTAAATAGAACCAAGTAACATGAAAAAATAGGTTATATTTAAAACATGTGTCTCTGTCCTAAGACTAAAAACGATGACATTTTTTGAAATGTTCCAAGAACTCAAAGGCTGATGGAACATAATCTAATATCACTGGCAAATACTATCTTATGAACTGAGATTGGCTTTTCATATTTACACAGCACTATTTAGTCCAAGACATTCCAAATATCCAGCCATATCTTGTTACAATGGAAATTGTAACAAAATTCCTATAAGATAAATGATAACTAATATACTACTACATCTATAATAGAGAAACAAAAATGTAGCATCATGAAAGAATATTCAACCCTGGAAGAATGCTCTGAGCTAACTCTGTCTTGGGATCCCACATTTTAGTAAGCTTTCAGGCTGTGTATTTGACACAAGAGACACATAGAAATATTAACAAGATAGTAGGACTCCAGTTCCACCTCTCCCAAACCCCATATCCTACAACTTGTCTTGACCTGTCCAGCACAGAAAATTTGTGTTTTCTTTGGATTTCAGAAAATCTACTTTAACCATTATTTAAAAAGCTCCACAATAGTCATCAAACGTTGGCAGATTATCTGGGCCTCTTTAAATGAATTTCTTTGTGCAAATATCTTAGGAAAGGAGGGGGAAAGTATATGTCTGGTTTGGGTTGCAAAGTTGGACATTGCAACCCAATCTAGGAAGCCAAGAACTCAATTTTTCCAATTTATACATCAATGTACATAAGTGAATAAATCAGTTAGCTATTGCTACATAATAAACCACCCCCAAATTCGATGGCTTAACACAATAACCACAATTTTGCAGGCAGGCAATTTAGGCTGGGTTCAACTGGCTGGTTCTTATGGTCTCAAATGGGCTCCTTGTGTCTGCAGTAAGCTGCATGTCAGCTTTGCTGATCTTGGCTGAGCTTTCTCATCAAGAAGCTCAGCTGTGCTCTATGTGGTTTTTAATCCCCTAATATAGGGGTTGGCAAACTAAAGCATACCTCTTGTTTTTGTTCATAAAATTTTATTTTAACACAGCCACACTAATTTGTTTATGTGTGGGCTGTGGCTGCTTTCACATAACAATAGCAGAGTTGACTAACTGCAACAGGAGCCATGTGGCACACAAAGCCTAAAATACTTACTATTTGTCCATTTACAGAGAATGTTTGCTGGCCGCTGATGTAGCACGTGGTAATCTCAGGGATCCAAGAGAAAGAGTGGAAATCCACAGGCCTCTTGGGCCCTAAATTTGAAACTGGTACACTGTCAGTTCTGCCATGTTTATTGGCCAGAGCAAATTAGAAAGCCATCCCAGATCCAAGGTCGGGGGCGGGGTGGGGGATAGAATCCATGTCTTGATGAGAGAAGCTAAAAAGTCAAATTTCAAAGGGCATGGTTTCAGGGGCATAGTGAAGGGTTCTTTTTATTTTTGTAATCCATCCCACTTGATCATGTAATAATTGCCTTTAGACAAAAAGAATTATGATGGAATAGGTAGATGTATTTATACATCTCATTAGGAAAGCCCATGAGCTTTCCAAATTATATAAGTCAGTAATCACAAATGTCCAAGAGGTCCCTGCAGATTTTTGTGAAAAGGACATATCCATTGTTATTTTGGTAAAAATTAAATTTTAACTCTACTTAGTTACTAATATTAAAACCATGTGCTTTGGTTAGTCCAACAAAAGTAGGAATATTTGTTGAATAGACTAAATACCTAAGTCTCTACAATATAATTGTTCAACAAATAATAGCTATTAACATGAAATAGAAACTCATTGGATTAGAAAACAGAAAACAGTAGAGCAGAGGTTTAATTCTAGCTCTCATGCTGCATAGCTGGTATTACTGTGGAAGTTATTTTTCTCATATTCTAGATCATCCTTACTTTGCTGTGTTTTGTTTTTGTTTTTGCACTTTTATGATTCATGCCAATCCTTACTCTCATCTGCACTTTTATACTTTCACTACCAATTCTTGAAAAGACATAATGTTGAGATCTAAAATTCCATGAGAAGCCCACAGGCCGATCTTGAGGGAAGTCTTGAAACTACAATCGCTATAATGCTGATAGGATTTGTTACAGGCAACAGTCGGCATCCAATCCAGTGTGATCCATTAAAAACAAGCACCATCTGATGCTATTATCTTTTGAACAGGGCCTGTTTAAGTAGTTAATGTGTTTGACAACACTGTAATATTTGAAGTACCTTTGGAAATGCATGAGTTACTCATTTTTTTTGAAATCTGGTTGTTTGTAATGATTGTCATGTCTAATATCACAAAATATCCAAGAAGTTGGAGCTGTATAATCCACAATAGGACTTCTCTTCAAAAAGTGGTAAGTGGCTATAGGGAAGTGATCCCAGCTCTGGCTGCACATTAGAGACACTTAGGGAGGTTTTAAAAATACCAATGCCTGGGCCCCACTCCCAGAAATTTTTATATAAAGATAATTTTAAAACTCCTCGTGTTATTCTCATTGAGAATCACTGCTTTTAAAGGGGAAACATGTCATTGTAAAGAACACTTTGTTTAGCTTTTGTGACTAGAGGCAAGGAAAATATCCTGCCTAGATTACAGCCTTTATGCAATTTTATACTTGGAATAGTCTGGACCTTCCTTGGTCATATTTTTGGATGACAATCATTTGTTTTTTTGAGGAGGTATGGGATGGGCAGTAGGAGTCAGCTTAAACCAGGCTCTGTGACAGCCAATGCAGTGACCCTCACCCCTTCCTCGGCAGCACATCATGCTTGTGCAGCGGCAGATGTCTGTGATAGAAGAGGACCTGGAAGAATTCCAACTTGCTCTGAAACACTACGTGGAGAGCGCTTCCTCCCAAAATGGATGCTTGCGGTAAGCGCTCCTACTCCTGCACCTGAGACCTTTAACAGCCCGGGAATGCAGTGAAGGCATTTCCCACTTTAGACAAGACTGGGGGTCTAGAAGACAGATATTTGTGAATTCATACATTAAGTTATACAGAGCATTCTATCTGGTGATGTCGCTTGCTGCCTTTAACTGGATGTTTTTTCTTTAATCTTTGGGCCCTGTGTCGTTTGGTCATTAGGGGCACCAAGCAAAACAAAATGGAGAGAACAACTCAAATGAGGAGACTGAATTTCAAATAAGTTGAAATTCCCTTTTGCATCCAGGCAGCCCACACACTGATTTAAAATCATCTCTGGTAGATCAGGCACCAACTCTAGGACATCTAGCTGTGATTGTTCCCTTGGCACCATGCCCTGTGGCCTAATGACCATTTCAGCCATTATGAAATTGCAGGCATCCCTGAAGTCATGATTTCAGGCCTTAGTTATTAAAAGAAAATGAAGCAGCAACAAATCTTTTCTTTCCTCTTTCCATGGGCACCACCCAGCTCAGGCTTCAAATATCTCAAGCTACTAAAATATACTGTTTTCTCATCTTTAGTTTTTCCACTCCAACCAGTCCAATAAACGGCTACTATAATAATTTTCCAGAGACAGTTATCAGATAATTCCTTTAACTGAGAACCTACAGTAACTCTCTAATGAGTATCTTATCAAATGCTAGATGTTTTTCCTGACTCTATATTTAATCCTACTGACAGACCTAGGAATCCATATCATTATTATGATGTGTTCTCCCTCATCTAAACACTCTGCCTTGATGATGATGAACAGCTAGAATTTCCAGTATAATCTGTTCGTTCCTACCACTGTGCCTTAGACTTGGCTACTCTTCCTCTAAGAAATGTACAACCAGCTGCAAGTCTCTGCCAGCGCATGCACTGCCTCAAGTTCAGAGCCTAGGTAGAAAACTTCCACAATCAAGGCTAAGTCTGTCTTGTGAGCTTGTTTAAACTGTATTTCATAATGCTCTTCAAATATTGCTTTGGGAAGGTTGTTAGAAGAGTGTGTGTGTGTGCGTGCGCACACGCATAAACAGATACTTCATGTCTCTGGGTGTTTTGCTTTTCCTCTCGTTGATTAATTAATTATATTTTATTCATATCCCAGTAGAATATTTCTCTAGCTAAAATGTCTGGTTCTGGAAATAAACATGGGACTTTACTAGCTTTGTAGTTTTGAGAAAGACCCTCAGTGGCTCTAAGCCTGAGCTTCAAGAGCCTCATGAGATGTTTAGGAGGATTAAGTGAGACAGTTTATATGCAGTGCTCAGCACAATGCCTCCCATCTACTAAAGACGTGAGCTGGTGTCACTATTGTGTTTACTATTGTTTCCTGGTTGTCTGGGTGGCTCACCTCCTCTCTAGAGTATGAGTACAGTACTTCCTCAGTGCCACTAACAGCTCATCATCTTACAGTAGTCCCTTCATAACAAGAACACAGGAAATGTTGTGTTTACATTATTATTTTTATTATTCTACTTCACTCCAGACTCAGAAGATCACAAATCAAAATGCCATTTTAGTCCTTTTTACTTCAGTGAATCAAGACAGATTTGCAAATGTGGGAATATGTGTAGTTTTTAAGAGCGTACTCATTTGAAAATTGAATATTTAAAAATGCAAAGAGGGCCGGGTGCAGTGGCTTACACCTGTAATCACAGCATTTTGGGAGGCCGAGGCAGGTGGATCACAAGGTCAGGAGTTCAGGACCAGTCTGACCAACATGGTGAAACCCTGTCTCTACTAAAAATACAAAAATTAGCCAAGCATGGTGGCATGTACCTGTAATCCCAGCTACTCAGGAGGCTGAGGCAGGACAATCTATTGAACCTGGGAGGCGGAGGTTGCAGTGAATCGAGATCGTGCCACTGCACTCCAGCCTAGGCAACAGAGCGAGACTCTGTCTCAAAACAAAAAACAAAAAACAAAAACAAGCAAAGAGAACCTACATATACCCCTTCCTCAGTGTAAAGTTCCCAAAGTAGAGCTCAGTAAACTGTTTTTAGTGAGGATATAGAGAAGATAAGGTCCATTTCAGTGTATTACAATCTCTAGGGATTAGAAATTTCATATTTATAAAAAGGACACACAGGTTTATTTTTTAGGTTCAGAAATACTGCTTTAATGGGTGTTGGGAAAATAACCTCAAGCTATTAAAACAGCCCCAGAGAAACAGACTGTGGGAGAGTGAGAGAGTGTATAGATTTGTGCTGCCTGCTGCACTCTGTTCTCTCAAAAACCACAATAAATTGCTCCAACGGCTCCTGCTGTGAAGTAGAGGGGAGAGTATCCTTTTCCTGTAAGATATATTCTCAGCCTCTCCTATTCCTTTCCAAGACTGGTTTGTTTTGTACAGTTCTTTGTTCATTTCTTATTGCTGATTTTTCAGCTAATTTCTTTCTTTTACTGGAATTATCAAAATGTAGACTATATCAGATAGAATGAGCATCAGAGAATCATTGCACCCATATAGAATATATATATGGTATAGATGTTATGCCAGTGTGCCTATCTACATTCAATTTTTCAGTTTACCAGTTAGTCAAATTCAATTTTCTACCTCTATCAAATGCCACTAATGCTATCAGTCATGCTCCAATGTGTCCAGCACAATTGCCTAGTGCTTGGCTGAGAAAATAAAGCTCTGTGAATGTCAGAGGTTCTGTAGCTTCTTCTCCCACGATGTTTAGCTCAGTATCACCATGGTTAAGCACAAAAAACTGCCATAAAATAAAATAGATATTAGTAAGGGCTAACAACATTAGGTATTTTGCACCTATTTTCTTATTTATTTTTTGAGACAGGATCTTGCGCTATTGCTCAGTGCAGTGGCACAATCATGGCTCACTGTAATCTCAATTTCTTGGACTCAAGCGACCCTCCACCTCAGCCATCAGAACAGCTGGGGCCACCGGCATGTGCCACCATGTCTGCCTAATTTTTTAAAATTTTGTACAGATGGGGTTTCACCATGTTGCCCAGCATACTTCCCCTTGCATCTCATTGACCGGAATTCATGTCACATGGTCATTCTTGGCCACCAGGAAGGTTAGGAAACAAACATCCAGCAGAGAGGAGTAAGATTATCAGGATATTCTCAGTCCAACACTGATTGGTACATTGGGTGTGTTGCAAATATTGAACAGTGGCAGAGTCATCTTAGTAAGGGGAGAGTCATATTTGGGGAGACAATGGTCAGTGTTAGCTGCTGTTAAGGTAAAATGGCTTATCTATGGAAAATGCTTAAATCACTATTAGTACTTATATTTATTATCTTCCTGCTTCTTATTGCTTTAATAGATACGTACATTTCCCTCCATTTCTTTTCTGGTTTTCCTCTCACCCCATTCCTTTTATTTCTGTCATGCTTCTTAGCTTTGACACTATTACAGCTTAGCTTTCATAGCTACTCACCCAATGAAAGTGATATTTTCCTTTTAGCTATTGGGCTAACAACTAATTACACACACACACACACACACACACACACACACACACACACAGCCAAGTACTGGGTTAAGAATTCTACAGGTAACTTTTTTTTTTTGAAACAAAGTCTTGCTTTGTCACCCAGGCTGGAGTGCAGTGGCACTTTAATTCTCACAGTATTGTTATCACCATTTCACAGATAAGAAAACCGAGGTTGAGTATTGGGATCAAGGTGGCACAGCTAACAAACGGTAAATGGTGGAAGTACTGTTGGGCTATACTTTAAACTACTACCATTTCATGCTATGATATCCTTTTTACTCCTTTAAAAGCTTGAGCATTATGATAAAATTTTATTAATTTATTATCTTACGGTCTTATGGCTGGTCTGGAAAATGAAAGGTTCAAATAGCAGGATAAGTGGGCTTTTAATGTAATAAGTATACAAATGAATTACTTTTCTTTCAGGAAGCAGTTGATGAAGAGCCTGAAACACAAGGCTGAGTATTTTAAACTTTAGCCTAAAGAAAACAGATATGAATTGTAATTTGTCCAGTATACTGTTCAAGGTTATGTTTGAGGATTACATATCCCTTTCAGACTATGATGGAAGCTATAGATTCTCTTCCTAGGAAAACATATATATGCATATTAATTTGCACATCATTTCTGGGATTTTAGTGAACTACCAAAGAGCATAATCAGGAACTCCTGGGATTAGAAAATCACAAATTCCACATTCTATTCAATTCTTATGATTCTATAGTAAACCTTTCTCTCGAAAATCTGAAGTTAGCTAAAAACAATATTTGCCGCACCATACCTTAATGAACCAAACTAGATAAACAACTCTGAAAAAACACTATTTACAAGCAGACCGAAAGAAAAAAAACTAAAATGTCTGTGTGTAGTTACTGCCACCTGCTGGTCACACTTAGGTAAATCCTAAATCTACATTAACTATTTTACTGGTAAGTTCTTTGTTCTCTATTAACCCAAAAGCCGTATTGTTTTTCTGACCCCTTGTTTTGCTTTATATTATGACCCATTAGGCTGAACAATCTGTACTTTTATTATTAAGTTTTTAAAGGCATCTTTATTTTTGTCTCCCACTCAAGTTTATGAATCTGTCTGTATTCCTTTGTTTCAACATTAATTTGGGTCTTCATCACTTCTCACTTATGCTATTTCACTACCTTTCTAGCTGTTGTTTATGCTTTGTATGACTACCCTCCTTACAATACCCACTCTGTCATCAGAAGAATCTTTTAAAATACAGCTGTAGCCACGTCACTTTCCCTGCTTTAAGTTCTTCAGTGGCTCCTCATTGCTACAGGATTAAATTTGCAGTCACCTCAACCTGTGTTTTCAGCCAGCCTGCTTTCTTCATTCCTTCAAAACATATTATATAGGCTTTTTCCTCCTTCAGGCTATTTGAAGGACTGGAAGAAACAAATTTATCTCCTGCAAATTGGAAAATAAATTTAAAAAGAAAACAAACAACCCTTGCAATTATGGCCAGCATGTGGACTCTCAAACTTAATCCAGAGACAATGTTGAGTGGTTAGAGAAAGAGGGATTCAGAGATAGAGAAAGGAGAAAAAGGGAGAGAACCATTAGGTATTGGCAAACTAGGAGTCAGTTGTATAGTAGTATGGTCTAAGTGGCTCAAATGGCCTAGAGCAGGACCCCACACAAAAACTGTCAATTCAAGAATGTTGTTAAGGCTGAGAATTTGGCAGAGCTATGGTGGTTGACCGGGGCAATCCTAAGAGCACATTTGAGGGCAAAGGCAGCTAGCATGCACTCACATTTTTCTGGGCCTAGAACAACAGATGCTCAATAAACCTTTTTCAATAAATGAATAAAATTTTACAAGTTACATTTGTGATGTTTGCCATATACTGAGACTATTTTCATGATGCAAACCCAGAAAACTGGGGGGAAAAAAAAAAAAAAAAAAAAACTTATGCCAAACAGACATATTGAACAAATAAATTTTTGACAAACCTGTTTGATTTTCATGCAGGCACCTTAGATTGTTTCCTATATTAATGGATAAGATTGTTTCACACTACATATAAAGATTAGAAAAATTAGCTTGCATGTTTAATTTCCCATAGCTAATTATGCCTTTTATTTTCCATTTCAGTATTTCTACACAAAAGCTTTCAAATGAATCTCGCTACATGATCTATGAGTTCTGGGAGAATAGTAGTGTGTGGAATAGGTAAGTTGTGAGCAAGCCTGATTTTATGTGAAGTCAGGAAGGTGGCAATATACATGATATAATTTTAGGATTTGTAGGAAAGCTCTGTTCTTTTTTACCTTACCTTAAAACCTGTCCCATTTGCCCATTACCCTGAATTCTACACACTTTTAAAAATGTATTTCATGGCTTAGAAACCACTTCTTTCTTGAAGCACAAATACTTTTGGTAATGATCCGACTTTGAGTCTTACCATTTTACTGATGTTTTCAGATAAGAAGATATAGATAGGGGCTATGGGTTTCTAAAGCTGGTGAGGGTAGTGGTAGGGGTGGAGACAAAGGATGCACAAAAGGGAGATGAAGAAAAAAAGCTTTACCTCCTAATTTTTCATAAGACTGTCTGTGCAGTTATTTTATTTTACAATAAAACTACATCTAATTTTTAGAATCATCACAGCCTAGCACCTTTTAAATATCTTTTAACACTGATATTTAACACTAAAGTGGAAATTCAGGACATTGTCAAAAATTCAAAAGAAATCAGCGTCTTTGAAATTAATTACTAACATAAAACAAACATATAATTTTAAAATGGAATGAAGGAAATATTTGCTCATCTGAGAGAATATAAACAATTCCTGACAGTTTAAAATGGTACAGAGAATATAGCTCTCTAATTAAGTCCATGTTTAAGGTGTTAAATATGGTTATGGAAGTAATAGAATACCTGGAAATTCAGTTGATTCATATTTCACCTAAACATTTTATTTCTATGGCAATTTTGAAGGCACTCTGTGCTATAATGAAGGCAAAATGACACCAACAGTATTTAAGCCATAGAGGAATACGGTTCAACTCTGTGCTTCCAGGCCTACACTTTCAGATAGTTTTTTAAATTTCTTTTTATTCTCTAGAAATGTAGACTATACAGTCTGCCTTCTTATCTATCCTATTTTTTAAACACCCCGACAGCCAAAATATTATCCCAAACCTTGCCATCTTGATTGAATTTGATCTCTGCTGTACTCAGGAAGATTGTATATAAAAATGCATAGCCTTAACCTGTAATTATTTATACAGCCACCTTCAGACAAATTATAGCAAGACATTTCAAAGAAGTAATGTGGATTTCTTGGAAACTCCAGAACTCACATCTACAATGCTAGTTCCTGGTAATTATCCTGGGTTTACAATGCTTCTATGTCCTTTCATGTTGTTTTTTGTTTCTTAAAAGACAATATGTTCTTTCCTTCTGTATTTTATCATTGGTGTTCTCTTATTTATTTCTTTATATATCTTATGATTTGGGAGTTGGGGGGAAGAAATAAAATATCTATATATTTGTTCTATTTTGTCCTTAGTTGACCCTATTTTGTATGCCCACTTATATTAAACCTACAAATTAGTCATCTGCTAATTATATTAACAAACTTGAAGTACCACCAAAACATAATATTTCAAAAAATTATTCAAATATTTTGCCATATTATAATTTAGTTTATTGGATACAATTTATTCATCTACCCATCCAATTACTGATTAAACATATATATACTAAGTATTAATATGTGCTAGGCGCCAGGGTGTTTAGCCTATTTACTCGTACTGATTGAGCTCTATATTTGAATAAGCATTGTTGGGAGTTACAGAGGGTATAAACTGAAAGCAAAACCTTTACCCATAAAGTGCTTTCTGTTCAGCTTGACAGAAAGAAATGTTTGCAAAGACAAATTTTAGCAGGAAAAAAAAAAACCAGCTCAGGGCATAAAATAGCTGTCATCATTAGAGATAATATGTGTTTTGTAGACTTGGAGAAGTGATTACTTCCTTAATAGTTTTTAAGAAAATGACTCTTGAGCTAGACCTTAACAGATGAGATGTGGACAAGTAAAGATGGAGAGGAAGGGTATTTTGGTAAATTCTGGACATGAACAAATGCAAGAAGTGTGAATGTGCTTTATTGGTGCAAAGATGTCACTAAGGCATAAAACATAGTACAAATGGAGATAGATGAGAGAGTAAGAAGTGAGGTTAAAAATGGCAAAATGAGGAGTTTGAATAGTGACCTGGAGTAATTTAAGGTTTTTGAGAGGGATGATGACATTCTAATCAGTAATAACCAACAGGAGGGAGAAATGGATGTCATGGAGAGGAGAGAGATTAACCAATCAGGGAAATAATCTAGGCCAGGGAAAAAAAAAAAAAAAAAAAACTGAACCAGGAACTAGCCAGAGAGCTTGGGACTCTAATTACAGATATAATTTTCAAGAGTTAACCACAGCAAGATGATGGTTGAAACCTGGGATTGGTGAGAAAGTATGTAGACAAGAACAAAATATCTAAGAGAAGCTTGGGGTGATGGCTTTTTTTTAATTGCATTTTAGGTTTTGGGGTACATGTGAAGAACATGTAAGATTGTTGCATAGGTACATACATGGCAATGTGGTTTGCTGCCTTCATCCCTATTACCTATATCTGGCATTTCTCCCCATGTTATCCCTCCCCAACTCCCCACCTCCCACTGTCCCTCTCCTATATGCCCCCCACAGACCCAAGTGTGTGATGCTTCCCTCCCTGTGCCCATGTGTTCTCACTGTTCAACACCCTTCTATGAGTGAGAACATGCAGTATTTGATTCTCTGTTCTTGTGTCAGTTTGCTGAGAATGATGGTTTCCATGTTCATCCATGTCCCTACAAAGGACACGAACTCATTGATTTTTATGGCTGCATAGTATTCCATAGTGTACATGTGCCACATTTTCCCTATCCAGTATATCATCGATGGGCATTTGGGTTGGTTCCAAGTCTTTGCTATTGTAAACAGTGCTGCAGTGAACATTCATGTGCATGTGTCCTTATAATAGAACGATTTATAATCCTTTGGATATATACCCAGTAATGGGATTGCTGAGTCTTTCTCTAAAAGTTTGGTAGAAGGAGAAAACCCTCCTTTATTAAGAAGTCAAAGGGAACCAGCCAGAGGTCGGAGAATCATAGCAGTGGAGTATCAACCAAAAGAGTGAAATGCAAAGACACAGTGGGGATGAGTGGGGATGTATAGTAGGGAGTGACTAAAGAGAATGGGACTGGAAGTTGGATTTGACAAGGTCACTCTTCAAGAAAACGGTTTTAATAGAGTAATAGGAGTTTAAAATTAAAGTAGATTTTGATGGATTGGGAAACATAGAAGTTGAAAAAGTTCATTCTGAAATTAAAGCTAGGTGAGGAGATGAAGGAGGTCAGGTGTGAATGCTTTTGAGTTGGCTGACTCACAGCCTCAGGTGGAGCTCTAGTTATGTATTTACTCTAAATCTTAAGGACAGCTTTGGCCTAGAAAATAGTCGGCATGTATTCTCTCACTGTAAATCTTAAATTTAATCCTCAAAGATTCACAATTTGACTCATGCAGTTTATAAATGGGAGAAAGGCCGGGTGTGGTGGCTTACGCCTGTAATCCCAGCACTTTGGGAGGCCGAGGTGGGCAGATCATGAGGTCAGCAGTTCGAGACCAGCCTAACCAACATGGTGAAACCCGGTCTCTACTAAAAATAGAAAAATTAGCCAGCAGTGGTGGTGTACACCTGTAGTCCTAGCTACTACAGAGGCTGAGGCAGGAGAAATGCTTGAACCTGGGAGCCAGAGGTTGGAGTGAGCAGAGATCACGCCACTGCCTTCTAGCCTGGGCAACAGAGAGAGACTCCCATCTTTAAATAAATAAATAAAATGGGGGGGGGGAAATCCTAGAGTACTACTTCTGTAAATATGACTGCTGCAGACTTTGTACATAGAATGCAAGAAAGTGAGATCCACATTTTATTTCTCTTCACATTCCCTAACATAATACAGTATTATTATAGTACAGTGTATTACAAAAAGAAACAATTATTTCCTAACTGAAGGAATGAATAGGACTTTGGCATCAGTCAAAATTTCCATGAAGTCCTGACACTTGTAATTATTATGTCTGCCATCACACCCATTTCCATCTCTCCTAAACCAATGTGGAAAGGAACAAAGCTTGTTCTTATTGGTGTCTTGTGTCTTTCCAGGACAGAAAACAGCTGAACAAAAATAAAGTAGGAAAAGAGGGTAGAACAGGAGGATAATGAGTTATCAGTGGGGGGGAGAATGCTATAGCAAGAATTGAAAATGTGGAATTATCTCTGATAGAGTTTTCTGACCCAACTTCATCATTATCTTGAATTAACTCTCTATGCACCGCTAGTATCACTGGCACATGTATTATATTACTGTTTCTCTCTCAGAGCATTTCCTTATTTAGAAAGAAAAATTGACTACAGTTAAAACTGGATCAATTCTTGTTCTGTGAATTCAGGTTCAATACAATTTAATGCCTTTTAATTGCTGCTCTGTTTTGCATTAATCTTCATATTACATTTAATTTCAACAATGATTACTCGAATTTGGTAGAACAAGAGGAAAAGTTAGGCTTGATTTCTAAACCTACAACATTTTAACATTTATTGGGACATCCGACCCTATTTTAAAGTTTTATCACTGTGACAATTCCAGCAAGCTGAAGTTAGCATAAAAATTTATGGGTTTTATGGCCATATAACTGCTAATACTATTTTTTAAAACCAGTTTTGTGCAATTTTCTGTGTTATAATGGTTATAAAGATTAAAAATAAAAATAATTAGCTGGGTGCAGTTGCTCATGCCTATAATTCCAGCACTTTGGGAAGCCGAGGTGGGCAGATCACCAGTTGTCAGGAGTTCAAGACCAGTCTGGCCAACATGAAGAAACCCTGTCTCTACTAAAAATTTAAAAAATTAGCCAGGCATGGTGGCACATGTCTGTAATCTCAACTACTTGGGAGGCTGAGGCAGGAGAATCACTTGAACCTGGGAGGCAGGGGTTGCAGTGAGCCGCGATTGTGCCCGTACACTCCAGCCTGGGTGACAGAGCAAGACTGTCTCAAAATAAATAAATATAAATAATTAAAGACTTATTAGCTGCACATTTATACCTAAAATTAAAATCTGAAAGAAAAAAAAAAAAGCAGTTATTACATTTAGAAATAGAGTATGAGTGGGTTTATATTTCTAATTTAACTCACAAATTATGATTTCTGGTAAGATTGCTTTTTATTGTTAAGATACTAAGTGGTTTACCTAAGATACATCTAAAGAAACTAGGCAACTAAGCCAGACTGCATCCAGATATGAAATACACACTATAATCTACTCCTGTGACCTCTCAAATACAAAATCATTCACATGAGGTATACTAGAATATTGTAACCCAGATCCATTAGCCATCATAAACCACCCAAACAAAAGGAGTTTATGAACTTGGTCTGTGGAGCAGAATGTCTCTTGGCAATAAGAGAAAGGCCTATGGTTATGAGAAAACAAGATACAAAAGAAAGATCCTATTGCCAGCAAACTACTTGAACAGCTTTGAAGGCAAGTTTTAATCCTTTCCATTTATCTGTTTCTCACAGCATTCCACCAATCATACATCTTTGCCATTGGTTTGTCTTTGGGACATTTATATTCACTGGGATAAACATTTATAATATTAACATATAGATTTACTAAAATATTATAACCTATCTACTTGCTTATAACCAATATTTATGAAATTCTATATGTATAAATGGTATTTATAAATACCATATGTGTAATTACACAAATATTTATAATACAGATATGTATAAATATGTGTATATATGTACACTATATGTATAAATATATGGTATTTCAACATATAGGATTTCATAAATATTGAGCATATAAATACTACACACACACACACACACACACACACAAACACACACTAACTACTGCCAGTATTGGGTAGATTCTAATAAGAATAACAAAATGATTTTATCCTCAGGGCATTTGTAATCTTGTTGCCAAAACAAGTTCTATTCGCATAGAACAAAAAATCTTAGACTGCAACAAAGTGCCAAAAGATATGGTACAAATAACAAGTGCATAGGAAGAGTTCAATCTTGCCTCATATAGTCAAGAAAAGGTGACTAGAAAGATAAGTTATTATGCAGGCAAAAGGTAAGGGAAATGGTCTCTTTAGAAATAATTTGCACCTTGAAGTTTCTTTGCCCTATATTTTCATCATTTTAAAAAATGTTTTTCTCTTCTCAGCTTCATGGTGGATCCTGAACAACAACTAGATGTTCCTAGACATTTTCTTTATGGTTCCAAGTGCAAAACAGGTGTTCTTATCTAAAATGTCAATTAGAAAATTATCTGTGGTTGTTAATCGGTATACTTTTGTTTAGTATATTTACTAAGTGCACTCTTTTAAAACATATTCTATAACTTTATCATTCATGTGAATTTTAGCTCAATTTTCAGAGTTCACTATTCTCAATATTTAATGCTAAATGCTTTGCTACATTGTAACCAACCTAAAACCTTTTAGTGACAAAATCCTAATATGTGGAAAAAAGCATATGCATAAAGGAATAATATTGTGAAAAAGAATTTGTTGTGATAAAATATTTAAAGTGGAAACTTTTAGAGCATTACTTCATAGGGCAGATTTTGTAAACTGTTGTATATTGTAAAGGGTTAAATCAGCGTTTTGTGATTTTTAAGTAACAGATTTTCTGTGATTGAAGTTTATTCTTCAACAATGTCTACTCCATCCCCAACAGCCCTATGACTATTATCTTTACATTAGTTAAAAAGTTAGTATATAGGCATCAAATAACCTTGGCTGTAACCTATAGAATCTCTATCTATGTATCAAGTTATAAACTGGTTTTTCAAAAGTGAACAATTCTGTGATAAGTTGAAGTACCATTTAGTAACATAGCAACATTGTATCATTTATTAGCATTATAATTCCTTTGTAAGTTAAATATATCAAGAAAGAAGAGAGTATTACTTTGGAAAAATGTGGTTCAAATTTTATGGCATATAGTTTTGGTATGCAGTCAAGACAGCTAACTTTTCTTATGAAAAATACATATTTGCATGTAAATAAGGATTTCAAAATACTTGAAAAAATTTTAACCCAAAGGAATAAATAAGAATTATAAAACAAGCAAAAAACCTTAAGGAAGTCATAAAATAATAGGGAAACTATTAGACAGAAGACATCTGCTTTCTGGTTTCAACACTAGAATGACTAAAACTATCTACCTATAGATATCTACCTATAAAACTGTCTATAGATAGTATATTATCTATATAAAACTGTCTATAGATAGCATATTATCTATATAAAACTGTCTATAGATAGTATATTATCTATACTTTGCTCGACAAGCTCAAAAATTAAATATTTGTAATAATAAAAATCTGTTCCAATTATAAACCCTGCTAATGAAAATATAATACATATAAAAATGTATTGCCATGCTATTTTCTAGTATAAATTCCTTTGAAATTATAAGTCTTCAGGGAAAAATATAAGGTAAAATATTCCTGTTTTTCCCCTTTGAAAAACTCAAAAGAAAGGAAGATTGAACTAATAAAATTTTATTTCTTAAGTATAAATTTGACCTAAAATATTTTCTCAAACTAATTCGTGAAACAGCAACTCTTACCAATACCTTTGTATACTCTCAATCCTCATTCAATATAAATAAAATTTTAAATCCTTTCATAGTTTCTATTAGAAATAAGTAGGAAATTTTGATATATTATACATATACACATGTGTATATGTGTGTGTATATATGTGTATGTGTGTGCCTCTGGTCAACTCTAAGGATGACAAGCACTGTGTAACAACACCTGGGCCAACTCTTTTAATTTATGTACAAAGCAAAGAACAACATAAATGGAGATATACAATGATTATTCAAACAGGCTATACATATGTACGAAGGCAAACAGACACATAACAAGTCTCTGCAGACTGATTGTATACAGTAAGAAAAGATCAAAACCTAAGGGACTTTTGACAAACAAATCTTGAAAATGTTCGTTGTAAATGGTTTCAAAAATACAAATTATAGCCAATCAAAACATTGCTTTGGTTAGTCCATTGAAGTATCCAGTTCAAAAAGCATATCAAATCTTTTGGGTACGAGGCAGTTTCCAAAGTAGCATGGTAGTATTACTTGTTAAAAGGGTTCTGTTTTCAGTAACAGTACTAAGTAGAAAGGGTCTGTAGATTCCAAATTGGAATATGCTCTATCATATTCTGAAACAAGAATTAAAATGACCTGAGAATGGGCAAATAATAAAGCAAACCAATTTAATTATATGGTCATTCTGACCCCAGCTCTTATACAAATTATATATATATTTGGGCATGTTTGTGAGAGTTGCATGTGTGTGAACATGTGTGCATGTGTATTAACATACACATATATACTGGAACCTATTGTAGAAAAGGAAACAAGTAGGGCAAAAAAAAGAAAAGAAAAAACTGGGACCTAAGTATAAATATCTCATTTTAAAGTAAACAATAAGTTTATAGTTAACAAAGATTTTTTTTTTCTATTTAAAAAACAATCCATTTTCCCAAAAAAAAAAAAAAAAAAAAAAAAAAAAAAAAAGACGTCACTAAAAGACCAAGGTGGGAAACATAACATGGACTACAAGCTTGAATCTGGGAAAAAAGATCAAAAACCAGTGAAGGAAAAGGTACTAGTTTTAGGAGTTCAAAATTCAGTGAAACAAACTTTTTGCAGTAGACCTAGGGATCTGAGAAACAGAATTAGGGAAAGTTTACACTTACCTATATATCAGCAGATATTTCTGGAAGAAACCTTTTTTTTTTAAAAAAAANAAAAAAAAAAAAAAAAAAAAAAAAAAAACAGCAACATCCAGAGTGACAAACTGAAGGAGAATTAATGTATAAAATTTCTAGGAATTAAAAGCTTAAACCCAAAAATTCTTCATCCATATATGTTATAAGAAATTACAGAATTGAAAGTTCATGTACTTCAATTATTTGCAAATGCCTAAATTATTTTGGAAATAAAAGTATCAGTTTTACTTTGAAATTGCTCAACTTCTACTATTCATATGGTCTGATTAGTGACATAAGTAGCAGTTGTTTTTCAACTTCAGTTTCATTCACTACCATTGTTTCCAAATTATCAATCTGTGCTAGTAACCAATCATATATCTGAAAAGAAATTCCTATTAAAAAATTCTCTTTCCTGTCATTGAGAACTATGCATTGAACATTCTGAATCATTCTAATCCTCTGGAGAGACTGTAATGATCCATTCATGAGCTGGTATGAAATCAGTGGGAAGCAGAACAACAAAAACAACTTTAAAAGCAGCAAAAAATTATGTACCATATATACACTGTAGCAAATATTTTATATTTGGGAGTCTTTACAACTTACATTTCCATTCCATTATTACAAGTGATGAAAAACAAAACATTGCAAATAGCATGCAAATTATAAATACACAGTCTTACCACTTCACTAACCAAATTCTTACTTTCCCGTGTTACTTCCCAATTTATGCAGGAAACTGCCTGCAAAGCTGAAACTGATTAGAAAATTCTTTATAGTTTAAAATAGTTCTTTCTCATTTTTAGAGACGTCAAATAGCCAACCATCAAAATTAAGAATAAATTGAATTGTCACAGTCCATTACAGTTATTGTTACTAGATCCACCTCATTTACAGATGTCCAAAATATAAAATGAATAATTCTTTATCTTCATATTCATCTGTTCTTCAAATGCTACTTAAAACTTTGGTTGTTTTCCTGTATAATAAAATAAAAGGTTAATTTACCAATTGATTGAATACAGTTTTTACTAATTAGTTTATCGAACCAAATACTGTGAACGTACCAGGTGTTTATAGATGTAAATGCATGTTACTATTAAAGTAACTAGAACTGTCAAATAACAAAACAGTTAATGTTTTAAAAATATATGTAATTCATTTAAAAATATATTGTATTCCAAACCTGTTGTTCTGTTTCTGTGGCACTTAACTTTAAAAAATGTATTAATGTGTAAATCAAAAGTAAAATTAATTGTAATGTATAAGTTTGTTTAAAAAAGTGTATGTCAATCTTTTATTTACACAATAAAATGTTATTAAAGATGGAAAGTCTACAAATGAAAAGGTGACTAAAGTTTATATAGCACCGAAGGTTATATTTATTCTTACAGACCATGAATTACATATCCCAAAGATTGTTGAACAGGTGGGAAAGTTCAAGTACATTTTTTCTTATTTAATATTCCTGTACCAGAAGTTTTATAAAAATATTTTAACTCCTTAAAAAGAATTAAAAACTTAAAAAGAACTGGCTAGAGATCTAAAGTTAGGGAGTTTAGGTGCCACTGCGGTATAAGAAAAAAAAAGACCTAACAACACCATAAAAACCCTAGAAGAAAACCTAGGCAACACCAATCAGTACATAGGCATGGGCAACAACTTCATGACTAAAACACCAAAAGCAATGGCAACAAAAGCCAAAATAGACAAATGGGATCCAATTAAACTTCAGAGCTTCTGCACAGCAAAAGAAACAATAGAGTGAACTGGCAACCTACAGAATGAGAAAACTTTTTACAATCCACCCATCTGATAAAGGGCTAATATCCAGAATCTACAAAGGACTTAAACAAATTTACATGAAAAAGCAAACAACCCCATCAAAAAGTGGGCAAAGAATATGAACAGATGCTTCTCAAAAGAAGACATTTGTGCCGCCAACAAACATATGAAGAAAAGCTCATCATCACTGGTCATTAGAGAAATGCAAATCAAAACCACATTGAGATACCACCTCATGCTCGTTAGAATGCCCATCATTAAAAAATCAGGAGACAACAGATGCTGGAGATGATGTAGTGAAACAGGAATGCTTTTACACTGTTGGTGGGACTGTAAATTAGTTCAACCATTGTGAAAGATAGTGTGGTGATTCATCAAGGATCTAGAGCTAGAAATACCATTTGACCCAGCAATCCCATTACTGGGTATATACCCAAAAGATTATAAATCATTTTATTATAAAGACACATGCACATGTATGTTTACTGTGGCCCTGTTCACAATAGCAAACACCTGGAACCAACCCAGCCTGGATAAAGAAAATGTGGCACATATGCACCATGGAATACTATGCGGCCATAAAAAAGGATGAGTTCATATCCTTTGCAGGGACATGGCTAAAGCTGGAAACCATCATTCTCAGCAAGCTGACACAAGAACAGAAAACCAAACACCACATGTTCTCACTCATAAGAAGGTGTTGAACAATGAGAACACATGAACACAGGGAAGGGAACATCACACACTAGGGCCTGTCAGGCATGGGGGGCTAGGAGAGAGATAGCAGGGGTTGGGGGCTAGAGGAGGGATAGCATTAGGAGAAATACCTAATGTAGATGATGGGGTGATGGATGCAGCAAACCAGCGTGGCATATGTATACCTATGTAACAAACCTGCACGTTCACACACATGTACCCCAGAACTTAAAGTATAATAAAAAAAAATAGAAAGTTTACAACATAACATTAAAAAAATTATAATCTGAGAAAAATGCTATGAAT